AGATAGATAGATAGATAGATAGATAGATAGATAGATAGATAGATAGACAGACTAACAGACTGACTTTGTGTTCAAACAAACCCTAAAAACAAAATAACAAAGAATTCAAATTTGTAAATAAACACTTAACTCCCCACCCCTCACCCCAATACACAGGGTTTCTTTCTCTGTGTAACCCTGGCTGTCCTAGAACTCACTCCGTAGATCAGGCTGTCTTCATAGATTTTCACTTGCCTCTCCCTGAGTGCTGGAATTAAAAATGTGGACCACCATGGCCATCTTTTGAAACACTTTCCCATAAGGAACATTTTGGGAGCATCCTACTTTTTTATGTCTACCTGATAAGAACATTACAAGAAATGAAAATTATAGGTCAATCTGACCAAAAGAGATGTCAAATGTAATCAAATTAAGCACAAAGAGAAGGAAAGCAAAAAACACATAAGAACTTTGATAAATGGACAGTAAACAAGTGATCATATCAGACTTAAGAAGCCAAGTCCTGTGCCGGGCAGTGGTAGTTCGTGCCTTTAATCCCGGCACTTGGGAGGCGGAGGCAGGTAGATTTCTGAGTTCGAGGCCAGCCTGGTCTACAGAGTGAGTTCCAGGACAGCCAGTACTACACAGAGAAACCCTGTCTCAGAAAAACAAAAGCAAAAAAAACCCCAAAAAAACAAACAAACAAAAAACAACAACAAAAAAAGGAAGCCAAGTCCTAAAATGACATTTGAGCCCAGGAAAACAACTCCTTTACAATCCAAACTCAAAAATGAAACATAAATGTGATAGAATAAACTTTTGAAAGCTGAGTCAAAAGGATCAAAAGTTCAAGGCTAGTGTGGGCTACACAGGAAAACCCTGCCCCAAAACAAACAACAAAAGATGGCAACTTAAAGAAACAGAGTTTTAAGATGGGGTTTAAAACAGGAGGACAGGCTAAAAGTCTGCTGATAGTTCTCCATCTTCTTTCCAGCTCTAACGATGTTTGCAGTTTCCTTTCCTCACCCTACCAGAGGGTAGGGTAACATACAGCATGCACAAGCCATCAATTAAACAGAAACAATCAACGCCTAACATGATGGACACTATCACCCCTACCATGTATTGTTCCCACTGGGCTCTTTAGATTGTGACGGCCTTATAAAACATAAATTATAGAAAGAAAAAGAGTCCATCAATTTGAGAGGGAGTGGAGTAGAGATTAGGAGAGGTTAGGAGGAGAAAAGGCAAAGTGGGAAGTGATATAATTACAATAACAAAAATGAAATTTTAGAAAAAAGAAAAAAGGAGATGAACAGACGCTTAAATGACAACAAATATACAAGCCAGTCATTGTGGCACATGCCTTTAATTCCAGCATTTAGGGAACAAAGGCAAGATGATCTCTGAGTTCAAGGACAGCCTGGTTTACATTAACAAGTTCTAGGACCACCAGAGATATACAGAGAAACCCAGTCTCTCTCTCTCTCTCTCTCTCTCTCACTCTCTCTCTCTCTCTCTCTCTCCATATATATATATATATATATATATGCACACACACACATATTATATATATTATACATTGGAAAACAAATATATTATAGTTAGAAAATCTCCAAGAGTAAGCATGTGGCCTAATCTGTGAAGGCCTGGGGTTTAAGGCTAGCACCAAAATATAAATAAAACTAAATAAAAATAGATCTCTGACATATCCAAAAAGGTAATACTAATGGCATTCTAATGTATTTAAATATAGTTGATAGTTTGACACTGAATTTATGATTTAAAAAAAGGCAAGTTTAACATTTTTTTCAAAGCTTTTTATTTTTATTTTATTATTTTATGTATTCACCATTGCTCTCTTCAGAAACACCAATAGAGGGCATCAGACCCCATTGCAGATGGTTGTGAGCCACCATGTGGTTGCTGAGAATTGAACTCAGGACCTCTGGAAGAGCAGCCAGCACTCTTAACCACTGAGCCATCTCTCCAGCCTCCAAGTTTAACATTTTTAAAGGTGTGTTTATAAGACAGCCTTCTTATGTAGCAAGACTAGCTTTAAAGTCAATTCCTCTGCCTCAGCCTCTCAAGTGCTGGGATTGCAGGAGTGTGCTTCCTTGCACAGTTGTGAGGGCTGGGGACTGATATAGAACACTGCACATGCTAAGCAACCAGTCTACCACTTAAGCTACACTGCCACCTGTGGACTGGGTTTGTTTTTTTAAGGTGATGTCTCATATTGCCCAGGTTGATCCCAAACACCTAGGCTCAAGCAGTCTTCCAGCCTCAGCCTTCTATGTAGTTGGCATCCAGTTGTATGCCACTGCACTAGCAAGCGCCCATCTATCTCCCACCCCATAGCTGAGTTACATGGCTAGAGTTACAGGTGGTTGTAAACTGTCCAACATAGGTGCTGGAAACTGAATTCAAGTCCTTTGCCAGAGTAATACATGCTCTTAAACACTGAGCCATTTCTCTAGCCCTAGGTAATTTTTTTTTTTAACTCAAAGGAAGACAAAATGACAACAGAAAAACTGAGCAAGAAAGGAAGACAGAATACTACATGGCTCAGCTGTGACTACAACCAAATATCAATCCATAAAAATGTTACGTTGATCGTCAACCTTGACAAAAATAATGTCTGTATGTAACATGACACAAGTGGAAAGAAACTGAAACCCTCGTCTTCCATAGATGAGAATCAATGAGAGATTCTAGAACAACAAAAATCATGAAGTAGTAACACAAGAATATAAATATCAGGCCTAAAAGAGGTAAAATTAAAAGCAGGCGCTACAGAGATGGCTTAGTGGGTAAAAGCACTTGCCAACAAACCTGAGTTCAATGCCTAGAACCCATATGGTGAAGGGAGAGGAAGAACTACTACTGTCCTCTGACCTCCTCTCCCTATATGCTCCATGACAGATTTCCCCATTCACACACCCACACACCACACAATAAATGAATGAGTAAGTAACAAGGAGAAAGAGCTAGAACTAGAGAGTAGTTTCACTGGGAGAACAGTGGGATAAGGATGACGAATTATAGGACTACTGGTTTCACAGCTAGCTCTGTGTAACACAATGTCTGCCTGACATTCTAAATGATATACATAATTCCAATAAAAAGAAAAACTAAACATAAAGAGCAGAACACTTACCAATACACTTTTCTTGCTTTTTGGATAGAAGTAACTGTTTGTACTTCTTTTAAGGTTTGCTTTGTTTTCTTCTCTGCTGATTTGAATGCCTATTTATATGAAAAAATTGAAATAATTTTAAGATGTATTTACATAACACTGACATACACAATAGCATAACAAATTGCTTTAGACAGCTTTTACTATATTGCCCAGGCTGCCTCTAACTCATAGAGATCATTCTGTCTATGCTCATGGATGATGCATGCCACCACACCCAGCTTAATAAATACTTTTAAGGGCCCATGAGATGGTCCAGTGAGTAAAGGCACTTGCTGCCAAGCCTGATGACTTGAGTTTGATCCCCAGCACCCACAAGTTGCCCTCTAATCTCCATATATGTACTATGTGCAAAAATCTTAATAGAAGAAAATATTTTATGTCATAAAGTGTTCTGATTTATACACACAAATATATGTATGAAAAATAAAAGGTATTTGCCGTAAGAAGTAAAATAAATACTGTATTTTTTATTTATTATATGCAAGCTTTTAAGACCTACAAACTAAGAACTTCACTGTTGATGGGAATGGTATTGTACTCCTATAATCTCAGCACCTGAGAGGCAGAGGCAAGAAGATCTTGGGTTTGAGGCTGGCTATAAAACAAGTATGAGGCCAGCCTGGATCCTAGAGATTAGATCAAGGAGGTTACTTACTTAACAGATATTAAAGTATCTACTTTGTTTCAGACAATATTCTAGAGCATTGGTTCTCAACTTGTTGATTGCAACCACTTTTAGAATTGAACAACACTTTCACAGGGGTTGCATACCAAATATTTACAATACAATTATATTATCATAATAGCAAATTATAGTTATGAAGTGGCATGGTTGAGGGGTCACCACAACTTAAGGAACTGTATTAAAGGGTTGCAGCATTAGGAAGGTTGAGAACTACTGCTCTAGATACTAGAACACAACAATGAACAGAACAACATTTTGTTATTGTTATACTATATATAGCTCTGGCTGGCCTGGAACTCAATATGTAGCCCTCACCATATAGACTAGGCTGATCTTAAACACAGATATCTACATGCCTCTGCCTCCCTAGTGCTGGGATTAAAGACATGCGCTGCTACACCTGGCAACAATGATACTTTTATGGGCTTACATTCTAAAGAAAAAACAAATATATTCAAATAGTTTTATATCGAGGAGTTAAGAAAAACAGCAAGTGAGATTTTATTTTTAGCAAAATTGGTCAACAAAGGCTTCTCTGATGTCTCACCTAGGCAGATGTGTAAATGAACAAATGAAGGGATAAAAAAAAAAACAAAAAAAAAACCGTTGAAAATCTGAGGGCAGAGCATTTCAGCAAGAAGGAGCATTAAGTACAAAGACCCAGAGAACAGCAGTGCACTATGGTTCTGAGAACAACTAAGATTGCGTGTAGCCAGAAAGAGGATGTAGAAAAAAAAAATTCAGGGAAAAGGTAAATAGATCATGGGGGGCTAGAAAAAGAGCTCTAAATCGTATTAAGATGGGGTGCATGCTTTTGAGTGAAGGAAAGAACAATGGAGTTTGCTTGTGATTTAAAATATCACTATGCTGCTGGGTTGGGAACAGAATGCAGTGGGGGAAAGGGAGAGAGTGATCCGGTAAGCTTACTCATGAGAATACAGATAAACAAGGCCTGAACCAAAGGAATAATGAATCGTGCTCAGATTCTACTTACATTTTGCTGCAGCTAGTGTGTGTGTGTGTACATGTGCGTGTGCGTGTGCATGTGTGTGCGCTTTTGTCTCTTATGTCAAAGGCTGGTCTTAAACTCACTGTACAGTGTAGGATAATCTGAACTCATGATCATTCTGTCTCCACTTCTCAATTCCTGGAACTATGGTCAAGTGACACAGTACTCAGTGGGTTTTGCTTATCCATTAAATTGAAGAGCAAAAGTAAGTGGGACTGGCAAGATGGCTCTAGGGGGGAAAAAAAAAGCACTTGCTGCAAAGCCTGACAACATGAGTTTTTAATCTCTGGAGCCCTCATAAAGGTAGGACTTTGTAGTAACTTTACAAAACTGTCCTCTGCCTGAAATGTTCCCTGTGGTACAATGAGCATACACATGCACACACAAACTAACAACAGTAAATGACAGATCTGGATGTGGTTTGAGGGGAAAGAGCTCTGGATATTTCTAACATTTGAGCAGGTAAGAATGAAAGTGCTATTTGCTGAGATGGGGAAAGAGGGAAGTGCTGGATAGCAGAAGAAAAGTAAATACAAGAAATATGCACATTTAAAGCAAAATTAAAACGAAGAGATTTCTAAATTAGAAAACCCCACTTAAACAGAAAAAGCCATTAAAGCTGCCCAAAACAATGAGCATCATTCTATCATGTTACCTTCTCAGCAGCTTCAACAGTCCTCTGTGTTTTTTTAGCAGCATACCTCTTATGATCATAGTATCTAGAAAAATAAATCTATCTTAAATATTAAGTGAAATCTATTTTTAGTTTTTAATTTTACAATCTTAAATCATACAGAACCAAGTTGTATAGAGCACACAATTACTTTTTAACAAATGAAGTATACACATAAGTTCCGTAGCAGTTTCCTCCATATTGAACCCCTACCTTCGAGGAGGAGGGTGTTGCTAAGAGACCCAGGAAGTGAACATACTTCACTGTGAGTCACCATCCTCTGCACCTGTGCTGTTGTGCCCGCTCCTCCATCTCTATGCATTTCCCTGAGAAGACTGCTCAAGGAGAAATCCAAACTTAGGTGGTAGGCTGCCGAGTGTGTTTCCTTGTTCCTGTTTTGATCCTTGTTCCTGTTTTTATTCCTGTTCCTGTTTTGTGGGGAGTATAAAAAGGAGCTATGCAGTTGAAAATATAGCATTTGGTTCTTTACCAGATGACTCCTTGTCTTTCTTTCTCTCACCCTCAGCTCTCCGCCGATCCAAGGAACTCAGTCAGCTATGCTGGCGTAGCTGACAAGTGGAGGTTCCACCAAGATCGGAAAGATGAGGAAGATTGCTGACGGGCCGTCTCTGGGGCGCACATTAGGACAGGAGATGTACTGGATACGAACCGAAGGTAAGTTTTCGGGGTAAGTAAACGCCATGGGTTTGGCACATAGTAAGGAGTTGCTGGCTAAGCAACTATCTACTCTTCTGGCTCAGTGGGGAACCACTGTTAAAGCTAGGGTTATCGAAGAATTTACAAAAATTCTCTCCATGGTTTGTGGCGAGCGGCACTTTTAAGCTGGAAGACTGGGTAAAGGTAATAGGTGATTTTCGTGCAGCTTTGGCCCTTTATTCCTTAGAAAATCAGTTTGGGGCATTTGTCTTCACCTGTGGCGATTTCTTTCTGTACAATTTTCCTCCTTCTTCTGCATCTCTAGGTTGCAAATGCCACCCTCCCTGTCCACACTGCTTTCGAGGATCACTTTCGAGGATCGTTGCCTGAGCTCTTGTTTTTAGACAAGAGTGAGGACTGAGTTGGAGACTTTTTTCCGCTTTTTTGTTTGTTTCTGAGAGGGGAGAATTTCATCCCAGATAGAGGGGTGGGATCTGGCTCTGGAGGAGGGTCCCCGACCTCGCTGTGGGGCTGTGGGGGCTCCTGTTTCTCTCCGCTGTGCTCTCATTCTGGCTGACACTCTGGCTGACGAGTGGAGAGGTTTGTGGGCCCAGCATTGACATATGCAACGACTGTCGGTAGCTGGGGTACCTGGAGAACTGCGCGGTGATGGGGGCTTCCTCCATGTACTGCTTATCTCCAAGGCCAGGGACTGGTGAGGCTGCCGCTTCCCCAGGCTCACAGTCATCACCTAGTGCTTGCTGCTGTTTCAAGTGGCCGGCCTCGAGAGCCTGGGGGACCTCTTCCCAAACCTCATGGTCATCCGTGGCTGGAAACTCTTCTGCAGCTGCACACTGGTCATCTTTGAGATGACCAATCTCAGAGATATTGGGCTTTGTAGTCTGAGGAACAATACTTGGGAGAGCCCATCAGGTTTTAGAGAAACGCTGACCTCTGTTGCCTCTCCACCATGGACTAGTCTCTCATCTTGGATGCTCCAGGAACATTGGAGGGGAGGCCCATGTGTGAGAGGACCACCATCAACGATGAGTGCAGCTGCCGCCGCTGGACCCCAGAGCACTGCCAGAGAATGTGCCCAGGTGTGTGCAGGAAGTGAGCCTGCACCAAGAACAGCGTGTGCTGCCACCTGGAGTGCCTGGGCAGCTGCCATACACCTGATGACAGCACAGCCTATGTGGCCTGCTGACACTACTACTGCAGAGGTGTGTGCGTGCCTGCCTGCCCTCCTGGCGTCTACAGGTTCAGGGATGCTGTGTGGACCGAGATTTCTGTGCCAATATCCCCAATGCCGAAACCAGTGACTCGGACGGCTTTGTAATCCATGATAGCAAGTGTATGCAGAAATGTCCCTGAGGCTTCATCCACAACAGCACCCAGAGCATGTACTGTATTCCCTGCGAAGGCCCCTGCCCCAAAGTGTGCAGTGATGAAGAAAAGAAAACGAAATCCATCGATTCGGTTACTTCTGCTCAAATGCTCCAAGGATGCACCATCTGTTCTCCATTTCACCTCCACCACCACCTGGAAGAACTGCATCAACATGGCACCGGATCCTTGCCACCATTGCCATCGCTGTGGGCACAGGCATTGCCTTATCCAGCAACATACAAACTGCCCAGACATTGAATGAACTTTCGGGGAGGGTACAGATACATTGCTTTCTCAGAGTGATATTCAGTCTGATTTTCATATAAATTGCTTTGGTTCAAGAACAAGTACATTTTATGTTGCCCACCAGACATGTTAGCTATGATCCCTTCTTTCATGCCATTTGTATTTGAATCCGTTGATTTCTGGCTCTTGGAATGCTACTTGTTATAATCTTACTCGGCAGCTCTTTAATAAGATTGTATTAGTTAACGATACCAGAGTTGATCCTATTGATGGAATCCTATCTTAAGCATGTTTCTTCAAGTGGGAATGCTAGTGAAAGAGTGGGCTGGAATTACTTCCTTGACAGTTTTAGCCTAATTTTGCTGATGCTTGTTTTTTGGGCGTCTGTGCCACCTTCAGGCACAACAGGTACAACCTCAAGCTGTTTGTGCGAGGATTGGTGCTTTTACATGGTCGAGGGGATCCCTCTGTCCAAGTGTGGCTGACCATGTTACAACCTAGGCCCGAGCTGCAGCTGGGTCTGCAAGGGAGTTAACCTGAGAGACATGCCTGGCTGCATAGGGGTTGGTGTCGATACAGTTCCCCTCCTCAGGAAAAAGACACCGGGATGGGTATGACCATACCACCTCACTGTACAACGGCAGGGGGCTGGAGGTCATTACAATATCCCCAATTTTCACTGAGGGTCTGGTCTCTGTCTCCGCTCGGCCTCTAATTAAAAGAAAATGGGTGAATTGTGAGTCACCATCCTCTGCACCTGTGCTGTTATGCCCGATCCCCCATCTCTATGCATTTCCCTGAGAAGACTGCTCAAGGAGAAATCCAAACTTAGGTGGTAGGCTGCCGAGTGTGTCTCCTTGTTCCTGTTTTGATCCTTGTTCCTGTTTGTGTTCCTGGGGAGTATAAAAGGGAGCTATGCAGTTGAAAATATAGCATTTGGTTCTTTACCAGATGACTCCTTGTCTTTCTTTCTCTCACCCTCAGCCCTCCGTCGATCCAAGGAACTCAGTCAGTTATGCTGGCGTAGCTGACACTTCACATGTCTGAGAAAGCAGTAGCCTACAAGATTCAGGGTTTCCCTCCAGTTAGAGAACCAGTAAACAGCTGCTTGAGAAGTAGACTGACAACTGAATTGCAAGAGATCTCTTCGACTTGTTCATGTGCCTCCAACAGCACAGGTCTCCAGATACAGCTTTCTTGAAGCATCACCCATGCTGAGGTGGCCTTTCAGAGATGTGCTAGCTTCTGCTTTATCCTTGCTTCAGTAAGTTGGCCCTCACTCATACACCAGTTAGTAACACCAGTAAAAACTCACTGGATCATCAGGATAGATTTTAGTGCAATCGTTACTTTGGTTAGTTATGGATTTCTTTCTAGGGGTGTATGTGTGTGCACGCGAGTGTGTGTGCATGTGTTTTATTTTCCCAGAAAAAGTCTCTCATACAACAGACAAAATAATGACTGTTAATCTCCTACTGATTTACTGTACATACACTACCAAGAGTTTACAATAGGGGCTGGAGATATGACTCAAACATTAAGAGCACGAGGTGCTTTTCCAGAGGACCCAGGCTTTTTGTTCCTGTCACCACACTGATGCTCACAACCACCTGTGACTCCAGTTCCAAGGGATCTGATGCCCTTTTCTGGTTTCCTCAGGCACGAGGCACATGCTGGTGCACCTAATACATGCAGGCAAAATATTCACAGATAGACTTACTGGTTAAATGCTTACTTTTTGGCATTGGCATAGGCTGACAGGCTGAGATCCACGTCGACAAGCAGCGGCTTGTTCTTCTGAGGCTTCTGCAGCTGCTTGTTCTTTTGTTTTTTTTTTTTCCCTTTTGGTGCTTCAGCATCACTGTTCTCAATGCTGCCATCACCATCACCATCTTCCTCCTCTGATAACAAGTATGGATTTCTATTAAAAATATTCAATAGTATTTCACTAATGTCGATAATATATATCAGTTTTCATTTCAAAATTTCCTCAATAAAATTAGAAATGATTTCACTGTATATTTTCTATTTCTGTGAATTCACAAAGAAAAAATTAAAAATAATGCAATGAACAATCAGGATTAAAAACAAGCACTGACTGGTAAGACGCACACTTACCGCAGCAGCATCGTGACATGGTTTGTTTGCAGCTTTAGCTCTTTGATTGCACTTGCAACAGGGTCTCCTTGAGCCTGTGCTTCTTTCACAATCACCCCGATTTCTGTCCAGTCTATCTGGTTGGCTAGTGCACTGCGGACCACCTGAATGGCTCTGTCAACTATCTGCAGGTTCATCTCTATGAGCTCCCCTTTCAGTTTATCAATTTCCTTAAGAAATAACACAATGAATTTACTATAATGCCAGCTGAGATTGTCATATTCTGGAAAGCATTGGAAAAGCTAAACGCCAATACCTGAGCCTGCTGAAGAGCTTCTAATCTGTTCTCATGATCCTTCCGGACATTATCTAATTTCTTCAGTGCTTGTTTTTCCTTATAGTAACAAAACAGATTTTTCAAAAGTTAGATTTCTTTCAATCCACAGCACTTCCACCCCTCAATTCCTAAAGCTTATTGTGTTAGCGGTTCTACTCTGTCAAAGTTGTCACATAGGCAACTTAAAAAGTTTCCCCAAAGTTCACTCCCTAAAGTCTTACCCTCTTAGAGATGTCATGCTGATATATTATCTCTATCTACTTTCTACTCCCTATATAGAATGTGTGCTTTGGTTACAGGTAAATCACTATATAAAGTATGACTCCAATTCCCTTGGCATTATTCAAACAGGCAGAATTCAAGATTTCCTATAACATACTAGAAACATTTTTCTCTTTTAAGTGGTATTAGAGATAAAACCAAGACCTCATGCATACAAAGAAAGCATTCTACCACATCAGTGGCCCCCCCAAAAAAAATGTTTAACTTATTTTAATTACAAGTATGTGAATGTGTACTACACTGCAGGTGCCCATGGAGGCCAGAGAGGATACTGGATCCCTGGAGACAGAGTCAGAGGTGATTCTGATCAGCTCAATGCTGGTACTAAAAACTAAACTTTAAGTCTCTGCAAAAGCAGAATATACTCTTATCACCTTAGCTCTCTCCACACTCCATAAATTCTTTTGTAAAATATGTATTTAGAGATTTTGTTCTTGGGGCTGGAGAGTTGTCCCAGTGGTTAAGAGCACTTTTTCTTGCAAAGGCTCCAGGTTCAACTCCCAACACCCACATGTACCTAAGGTGCACTTCTTTCTTAGGTACCATACATACATGTGGCACATAGACATACATGCAGGCAAAAGCACTAATACACATAAAATAAAATAAACCTGGTATTTTGTTCTCATTCATGTGTGCATGTGTGTGGATTTCTGTATGTGAACACGGTGCCTGCAAAGTCCAGATAGGGTTAAAATCCCTAGAACTGGAGTCACAGGCAGTTATGAGCCTCTAAGTGTGGGTGACACAAACCAAACTTGGTTCCTCTGGAAAAGCATTGTGCACTCTTACCCACTAAGCCTCTAGCCTCCCGATAAGTTCTTTATAACTATAAACTAGGGGCTGGAAAGATGACTCAGTGATTAAAAGCACTTGCTGTTCTTAAAGAGGATTCAGGTGACTCAATCATCTGTAACTTCAGTTCCAGGGAATCTGTCACCCTCTTCTGAACCCCATGGGCATCAGGCACACATATGGTATACATGCATATGCACAGGCAAAACACATAAAATAAATCTAAATACAACTTTTTAAAAGTACAAATTATTAGCCGGGCGGTAGTGGCGCACGCCTTTAATCCCAGCACTTGGGAGGCAGAGGCAGGCGGATTTCTGAGTTTGAGGCCAGCCTGGTCTACAGAGTGAGTTCCAGGACAGCCAGGGCTATACATAGAAACCCTGCCTTGAAAAGCCAAAAAAAAAAAAGTACAAAATTATTGTTTGATTGACATTCTGTTCTCTCAGCATTTTATTCCAGGATTTTTCTGAATATCTTTCACTAACATAATAATACAAGGGTTCGGTGAGGTAATCTGACCTCCTGTATAGCATTTTATCAGACACAAGTTGGATTTGCTGTTTGGTAGAGGGTCTCATACAGCAGCTCAGGCTGGCCTCAAACTCACTAGCCCAACTCCTGGTCCTCCTGACTCCACTTCTCACCAGCAGGGATTACAGGCATACACCACCACATGGTACTTATATTTCAAAACTACTGATTTGAGAACTATTTTTAATGTTTTATAGCATCGCCAATTAATTATTATTTGAATGTTAGATGAAATAGCTAAAAGATTTAATTTGTAAGAGTGGTAACTATTTAAGAACTCACAATAATTACCACAAAAAGTTACTGGTGTAGTGTGAGTGTCCTTAATCCTGAGTGTTTAGAACAAGAACTATTTCAGATTATAAAGCTGTTTCAGGTTTTAGAATACCTGTATACACATAACCAGCTGTACAGTCCTAATCTGAATATCTGAAATCCTTTGAGTATCATTGTTCTAATGCATATTTAAAAAATGAATAGAGCTGTGTGTGTCTTCAGCACTTAAGTGGCAGAGGCCAAAGGATCTCCGAGTTCTAGGTCAGCCAAGGCTATGTAGAGAAACCCTGTCCCAAAAAAATTTTTAAGTATAATAATAATAATAATAATGAGTATTCATGAACAACTGTTTTCTAGCCAAAGTGCTGCCATGATGTAACAATCACATCATGCAATTTATTTAATTACATGCTTGGAAATTGTACTATTTTAAAGCAAAAGGGAAGACTGTAGAAGCATTCACATAACTCAAAATTCTGCACACATATTTTTGATTTGTTTAACTTTTTAATAACAACTTTTGATTTTTTTGAAATGACATCTTTTCCCCTTTCCTCCAACTCCTCACCTGTATCCCCTTCGCTCGCTCTCAAACCCATAGCCTTTCTTTAACCATCGTTTTTTTCTCTCTCCCAAATATAAAAATAGAACCTGCTCAGTCCACATAATACGACAAGTATGCATATGATCTCAGGGCTGCCCATCGTGTATTAGACATCCAACTCAGTAGCTCCTCCCTCAGGAAGACCATGTCTCCCATTTTCAGCATTCCACAGTTGCCAATAGTTCTTTGTCTAGGGTTGAAGCCCCCTGACTAGTATTTTTGAAAAATCTAATCTCTTCTCAAAGTGACTTTGATCAGTTTATAAAGCAGATCTACATACAGCACATGCTCTAAAAACACAGTCAAATGTGCTCCAAAAATAGTGAGTGTAAAATCCTCACTGGAGTATCATGAAATAGATCAGACAAGGACCAATTTCTAAAGCAGCTTAACAAAAACAGCATAAAGTTTTTGATAAAGAAACTTAGTACAGAAAACACATTTTTCTTCCTCTGGCTCATGTAACTAACATGTGTCTCAGAACTCATAATGGCCAAGTTTGAGAAGCTCTGGGATGCTCTAATATACTGAGTCATACTAGGGTATATAACAGACTAATGGTCCCACTAGATTTCATCTCCTTTAAAAGATCTGAAATTAGAATAATAGGAGTGAGGGTGGGGATGGAATGAAGGCATACTTCTCAATAAGACTCCCCTGAGCTTTTATCATAAACTAAGGGAAGGGCTAGTTATGGTGACATGCCTTCAATTCCAGATCTCCAAGTTTGAGGGCAACCTCCTCTAAATATTTAGTGTCAGGCTAACCAGAATTGCAGTGAGTCCTTGTCTCAAAAACAAAACAACTGGGCTGGAGAGATGGTCAGTGGTTAAGAGCATTTACTGCTCTTCCAGGGGACTAGAGTTCAGTTCTCAGAATCCACATAATGGCTCATAACTACCTGTAACCCCAGTTTCAGAGGATCTGATCTGAAGGCTCTCATACCTCTGGAAGACAGCTGACTCTTAAATGAGAGCAATATCTACCCTCCAAACCACTCTGACTAGCTAGTTTAATATAAATGTTTTAAATGATACTATACCTGTTGTAAAGCTTTTAAGTCAATTTTCTGACCTTCTATCTTGGAATAAAATTCATCCACGGCCTTATTTAAAGAGAGAGAGAGAGAGAGAGAGAGAGAGAGAGAGAGAGAGAGAGAGAGAGAGAGAGAGAAACAATTGGTTGTAAGAAAAAAAAGCACGGTCTCTATTTTACCTTGCACACACACAGCATTAGCCTGTTTTATACCAGTGCCCTCACTACCTGACCACATTTGCAGTGACCTATTCTACAACTAACAGTGTCAAGAATAAAACTAAGATTGTATTTAGTCTTATCTTCTTTTTTTAAAGATTTCTTTATTTTATGTATGTGAGTACACTGTCACTGTCTTCAGATACACCAGAAGAGTGCATCAGATCCCATTACAGATGGTTGTAAGCCACCATGTGGTTGCTGGGAATTGAACTCAGGACCTTTGGAAGAGCAGATGGTGCTCTTAACCACTGAGCCATCTCTCCAGCCCTAGTCTTTCTTTTAATTAAAAATGGCAGCAATTGCTTCTAATAGTTGTACTCATGAGTGCCCTGATTTTTAATCAATCCACAGACTCACAGTGAATTTACGGCAAGAATATTTTCTGAGTTTCTTTCCATCCTTCCTTTTCTTTCTTTTGCAGTGTTGAGGATTAAATCCAGGACTTTGTGCATGCATTCACATTGGGCTACATCCCCAACTCCAAGACAACATAAACAATTCTGACAACTTGTGTTGCTAACTAGCATGTTCTGACAACTAGCATGCTAACTAGTAAAAAAAAAAAACAACTAGAAAACTCACCTTGTCAAATGATTCGAATTCTATATATGGACATTGTAAATGTTGAGAAAACAAGAAAGGATGGAATTCCTCATACCTGTAAGGCATTTAAAATATCACAATTAAGAATATTAATTATTATACAAAGCAAACTAGCTGGTGGGTGTGTATTTAGCTACTACATACGTGAGTATGTCTTCAGCTGGTTTATTTGCATCCAGGCTTGGTTTTACCTCTCTTTTCTGAATTATATATCCCTACCAAAAAAAAAAAAAAAAAAATCTAGCATTAGACTCACCTATATTCACAATTAACAAAGGATTAACTATTTAAATGATATTTTTTCTAGCTAAACATTTTGAATAGAGAAGACAAATATTAAAGTATGAGGTAATGTTATGATTGTTTAGCTATGAGATGATTATAGCCCACCCATTTTGAAGTATTAGCAAATTAAAGAATGCTTTTCTAAAATCAACTCAAGACAGAATGTTCTCCTCAGGTACAGTTCTGCCTATAAATCCAGTTCTAGGGAGGCTGCTGTGGAAAATGTTGAGTCCTGAGGCCATCCTGGGCTCCACAGCAAGACCTTGAGTCAAAGAAAAAACAATTGGCTGGAGAGACAGTTCAGCTAAGACTGCTTATTGCTCCTTCAGAGCACCCAAGTTCAGTTCCCAGTACCTACATACCTATAAACTCCTGTAACTCCAGTTGCAAGGGATCAACACCCTCTTTTGGCTTCCAAGGGTACCCACACATTGTACATACACTCATATAAACACATATACATAAACCTAACTAAAAAGTCAAACTTTTTTTTACACAAATTACTCAACTATTCTTTCTTGTTTTTATAAAAGGTGGGGTCTTGTGTATCCCTGGCTGGCTTTGAACTTGTTATTCAGACCAAGGCTTCTGACCCTACTGCCTCCCTCCACCTCTCAAGTGCTAAGATTACAGATATGCACTCAAATGCCTGACTTGGACAGTACTAGGGTTCAAACCCAGGGCCTAGTGTACTCTAGGCAAGGCTAGTTTTAGACTGAGTTCCAATGCAGTATTTTCTATAAAAAATAAAGAATAGAAAAAAATTTACAAGAAGCAATATAAAAATCGAAGAGACTATCCCAGAACTAGGTATACAGCCCAATGGTACAGTATGAATGCATATGTAGAAGGCCTTGGATTCAAACCTCAAGCAAGAAAACAAAACTCTTAAATTATAAGTATTTTATTTCTGAAAATTCAAAATAATACACGAAAGCTGTGAGATGGATCAATGAGTAAGTATTCGTCACTAAATCTGAGAAACCTGAGTTTGACCACTAGGACCTACACAGTAAATGGAAATGCTCAAGTACTGCAGCTTGTCTAACCTCTCAAATGTTTTGGCACTCCCCCCAACCCCCAAATAGATACATGCAAAACAACACACAGTATTTACACAGTGCTGCTACCTTTCCATTAAAGTTGGATGTTTTTTTCAAATAGTCTTCCGCCCTCTGCACACAAACCAGTATCTTTTCAATATCTAATGAAAGAAATAAAAACAAGGGGAAAAAGAATGCCAATTAAATTGACTAATACCATTAAATAACATTTATCATATTAATACATAAAATATATTATGTATTAACAATATCAACATTAATGTATCAAATATATTAATGTATATATCATAATTACATTAATGCTGATGTCATAATACTAATTATATTAATGTACTTAACATAATATTAATGTTATGATATAATAATTATAACTAATTATGCTGATTACAATTATTACATTTTTCCCTTCTGGCCCATGTAACTAATGTGTTTCTCAGAACAATTAACTCATAATGGCCAAGTTTGAGAGGTTCTGGGTTGCTTCTCAAAAAATATAATTATAATTAATTAAAAATATATTATAATTCATTATATTTATATAAAATAATGTGATGCTATAATCAACAGAATTAACATAATAGTCACATAATAGAATATTCATGTTTATAAATTATTAATATATTAATAATTAAGCACATTAATATAATATAGTATTTATTTACTGTTGAGGTAGGGTCTCAGTATGCAGTCTTGACTGGCTTGGAACTCACTATGTGAAATAAGGCTGGCCTTGAATCAATAGAGAACAACTTTCCTTTGCCTCCCAAGTGCCATAAATAAAGGCATGTGCCACCATGCCTGGTTCAATATATTTATTAAAAATCAACAATAGAAAGGTAGCTGAATATGATACAGGCCTGTAATCCCAGCACTAAGGAGACTGAGGTAGGATAATCATGAGTTCAAGATCAGTTTGGGCTATACAGTAAGACTCCATCTCAAACATAAAGAACAAAAACAAAACAACCAACCAACCATAAAACTGAGAATGTTGTCAGATCTCCAGGAAGTAGAAGTCCTCTGAACATACACACAAACACACTAAATAAAATGTAATAATAATAATAAAAACATAAAGCAGACCAGTGAGATGGCTCAATATATAAAGGTGCCTGCTACACAAGCTTGGAGACATGAATTCAATCCCAGAACACAACATAGAAGTGGAAAAAAGAAGACACACACACATATTATGCACGGGTCCTGCTTCCCCAACACATATCAGGAAGGAACACGTAAACACACACACACATATTAATTTTTAAAACTTAAAACAACCAGGAAAGTATTTATGAAATAATGTAAAAGCTTAAGAAAATGAGATAGGGTTGTTTCAATTGTGTAATTGGTTTATGTACATAAGATTATGTTTTGGTCAGTTGATTACTAAATCATCCAACTTTCTTACAAAAAGATACACTTTACTCATAAACCTAATTTTCTTTTTTTTTTTTTTTTTTTTTTTTTTTGGTTTTTCAAGACAGGGTTTCTCTGTGTAGCCCTGGCTGTCCTGGAACTCTGTAGACCAGGCTGGCCTCGAACTCAGAAATCCACCTGCCTCTGCCTCCCCTAATTTTCTAATCTCTGTATATACTTAGTTCTATTTTTTTTTTTTTGGTCTATTCCTTCTCCAAAAAGTCACTATTTTATTACTATAGCCTCATGATACATTTTAATCTGTGAAAAGGTTATATAGCTAATATTAAGCAGCCAGAGTTTTATAATATTTTATAATAACAAAAATACCACCACCATCTGTTGTCACTGGAGACAAAGAGGATACATGGCATCTTGCCAATCCCAGATCAAAGTTTTTCAAGTCCATTCACTTCTAACTTTAACTTTAAAAACTAAAATTATTTCTAGAAAAGAAACAAGGTGCAAGAGGCCAGAGAGACGGCTCAGCGGTACGGGCTGCTTTTTCAGAGGATACAAATTCATTTCCCAGCACCCACATGGTGGCTTACATGGGTTATAACTCCAGTCCCAGGGGATGTCTGGCCTCTCAGGACACCAGGCAAGCATGTACTGAACAGACAGATGAATAAGGACACAAAACACTCACATGCATTTAGAAAAGAGGAAGAGGAAGAGAGAAGGAAGTGTTAGGCATGCTAGTAAACATTTATAACCTACAGGAGGCTGAGGGAGGAAAATCCAGAGCTCATGACACTGGACTACAATGTAGGGGAAACCTTATTTCAAAAAAAAAAAATCAAAACAAAACAATAAATGAAGTGTTTGTCAGTAGAACATTTTTTTAGGGTCTGTAGAGCCTTAGGTCTAATTAATTTCCAGTACCATAAAACCTCAAAGGAAAAAAAGGAAAAGGGAAACAAATTAAAATGTATAAAATATAGACCATGCAGACATACCTTTGCTTTCAAGTTTTTCATCCACTTTAACATTGCCAGAGAATCCATTTTCTATAAGACAGTGCTCAATAAGAGCTGGCCCATAAGCTATACAAAAGTAAACAGTATTGTTGTCATTATTTTCCTATAAAACTTCACATTTAAAACACAGTATAAATTTATAGCTCAATATCAACAATCTACTTAATACAAGTAGCCACTGAAAGTAATTTTATTTCATTTCAAATGGTATTAGAATTAAGACCTGAAGCAATGAGAGGAGTTTGAAATCACAATAAGCAGAGAATTGGTACATGTTACAGGCATTTAACAAAACATATATAAGGTTAACTAGAAATGTAGAGGTCATGAGTTCAATTCCCAGCACCTACCTGGTAGTTCATAACCATCTATAATGGAATCTGATCCCCTCTTCTGGTGTGTAGACAAAGCACCCGTATACATAAAATATATAAATAAATCTTAGCAAACAAATGTAGATAAAATACCGATACACATAAAACTGTGTAAAAATAATAATTGTAAAAAAAAAAATTACTCAAAAGCATTCAAACAGAAAAAGCAGCTTTATTTTCAAAGGAGGTATGATCCTGTATGCTAAAAATTCTTAAAGAACACACAGTCTTCTAGACTAATTATCTTTATCAGCTCTGAAAGATACAAAAATATAAATCAAGTTTATGTATAAATATCAGAATATATAAATATCAATTGGGAAACCAGAGGGATGGTTCAGTAATTAAGAGAACTTGCTAATTTTAGAGAGGATGTTGGTTTGGTTTCAGCAACAACACAGCAGCTCACAACCACTGTGACACCAGTTCCAGGGGACCTGACTCCCTCTTTTGACCTCTGTGGACACCAGACATACATGTGGTATACATATATACATGCAGGTGCTCACATAAGATAAATCTGCCAAGTAAATCAATTGTATTCTTAAAAAAAAAAAAAAAAAGAAAGAAAAGAAATTAAGAAAACAATTCTATGGGCTAATGAGATGGTTCAAAAGATACAGGTTGCCACAGCCAATCTTAATGAGCTGAGTTCAATCCCCAAGACCCACACTAACTCCTGCTATGTGGCCTTTTGATTGATATCCACTTGTATACCATGGCAAAAATGTGCCCACTCCCTACAAAACAAACTAAAATGTAATTTTTGTTTTTTTTTTTTATTTTTGGAAACATGGTTTCACTGTGTAGTCATGGTTGTCCTGGAACTCCCTATGTAGACCAGGTTAGCCTTAAACTCAGACACCTGCCTACCTGTCCTCCTAAGTGCTGGTATTAAAAGCATGGCTACCATGTCTAGTAATGCTTAAAACCTAACAACAACACACACCAAAAAAAAAAAAAAAAAAAAAAAAAAAAAACCCAAAAAAACAAAATGGGCATTTAATAATAAAATTTATATATATATAAAAACTATAATATTTTGAAATTAAAAAAAAATTAAATAAATGGTGAGACCGTCTATGCTTACAGAAGACTCAGTATAATGAAGACTGCTACTTTCCCCACAGAATCAATGTAATCCACATCAAGACCCTGGCAGGTGTTTGTTATAGAAAGCAATACCCCAATCCTAAATTATACAATGAAATGCAAAAGAATAGTCAAAGGCTTTGGGAGACAATAAGAAAGAACTAAGAGTATTAAAACTACCCACTCTCAAAAGCCATAGAGATCTGCCAAGGTAAACTGCAGCAGGAGGATCACCAAGGGTTTAAGGTTGCCTGGGCTATGTAACAAGTTCAAGGCTAGCTGAGCCATGCCTGGGTCAAAACAGAACAAAACACCATCAAACAGACAAAAGGATTTGGCAAAGCTGACAGGGAGAGGAAGAGAAGAACTAATATCTGGAAGATGTTGTCCGCCTTGAGGCTGAGAAATTTTGTAAAAATAAAATAAATACAAACGCTGGGCAGTGGTGGCGCACGTCTTTAATCCCAGCACTTGGGAGGCAGAGGTAGGCGGATTTTTGAGTTCGAGGCCAGCCTGGTCTACAGAGTGAGTTCCAGGACAGCCAGGGCTACATAGAGAAACCCTGTCTCGAAAAATGAAAATAAATAAATAAATAAGCCAAGTGGTCATTAAACAAAATATTATTTGAAAAAAAGCAACTACTCTGAAGTCTACCACACTGAGATATTAATAACATTCTATACTACTTTTATTTTTAAAAGACTATTAATTATGTGTAACATGTATGTGTGATCATTCGTTTATTTGCATCACATGCATACAAAAGTTCATAGAGGCCAGAAGAGTGTCAGATGCTCTAGAACTGGAGTTACAGCACATCTGAGAGCCACCATGTTGGTGCTAGGAACTGATCTAGATCCTTTGTATGAGCAGTTAGCACTCTCCATCCCTAAGCCATCTCTCCAGCCACTGCTTCTATTTTGTTAGAAAAGGTTTTCTCTATCCCAAGTTGGCCTGAGCTTACTACGAAACTAAGGGAAGACCTTAAACTTCTAATCCCTCTGCCTCTCAGGAGTAATGACATTGTAGGTGTATGTTACCAGGCCTACTTTTATATAATGGTGGGGTTAAATTAAAGCCAGAGCTCTGTGAATGCTAAGCAAGTACTCTACTAACTGAGCTGTTTTTAAATAAAATCTAACCAACATAAAAATGGTCAGCTTTTGGGACAATAAGGCTTAGTGATAGATATGTACTCATCATCACAAAGCCCTGGGTTCAAGCCCCAGCACCACAAAACAAGCAAAACTTTAAAACCCTGGGGGTTGGAGAGATGGCTCAGAGGTTAAGAGCTCTGGCTGCTCTTCCACAGGTCCTGAGACCCAGCAACCACATGGTGGTTCCTAACCATCTATAATGAGATCTAGTCCCCTCTTCTGGCCTACAGACATACACACAAGCAGAATGCTATATACTAAATAAATAAATAAATAAATAAATAAATAAAACCTATTTACTCAAAAGATCACTTTAAACTTTTTTTTTAAATTAATACTTTATTTTTATTCATGAGTATTTGTTTATGTAAATGTATGCCTCATTTGTGTAGATACTCATGAAGGCCAGAAAAGGGCGTCAGATCCCCTGGAGTTGGAGTTATAGGTTGTGAACCATTGGCCATTACACTGTGAACTGAGTAGCTATCCAGTCCCTTGTTCAATTTTTTTGAAAAGAAAAAAAAAATTGAGATTTAAATATATTCACGGAAGTGTTGTTCCACAAACATCTTAGTACAATACACAGGAGTACTCACGAAGTAATGGATTCAGCACTCTCTTCAGCAGTTCACCTTTAGGAGCACTAGCTAGTACGTCAGTCAATCTGTGAACAAAAGTGGCATACTTTTTAACTTATATTTAATAAACCTTATGTCATCCATTTATTTCACCTTTACAAGAGTCTGAAACATAGCAGAAATTATTCTTGTAGGTATGAAAAACAAGTTTTAAAAATAATTTATATGCTGGGCAGTGGTGACGCACGCCTTTAATCCCAGCACTTGGGAGGCAGAGGCAGGCGGATTTCTGAGTTTGAGGCCAGCCTGGTCTACAGAGTGAGTTCCAGGACAGTCAGGGCTACACAGAGAAACCCTGTCTCAAAAAAAAAAAAAAAAAGAAAAGAAAAAAAAATGTACACATGGGACTAGAGATGGCCCCAAGGTTAAGAGCACTTGTTCTTACAGAGAACTAGAGTTCAGTTCCCAGCAGTCCCAACAGGTACATCACAGCCATCTGTAACTCCAGTTCCAGAGGAACTAAAGCCTTCTTCTAGCATCTCTGGCACTTATATGCGTGGATACACACATATACACAGATACAGGAAAAAAAATTTTATTTAATTTTATTCAGAGCTGAGTGTGGTGATATATGTTTATACTAGTAAGGCTGAGGGACATAAAGCACTCTGAGTTCAAGGCCAGCCTGGGCTACACAGCAAGATTCTGTCTCAACACACACACACACAAACCCATAATTTAACCACAATCAAAAGGTTCCTGAAACCAAGTCTTAAATCCAGGTTTTCTAAAAGAAATCAGTATTTTTCCACAAAGTCATGAATTGCTTATCATCAATGTGACATGAAAGATAAATTTCTATGTACGTGTACATGTCTAAGTTACATGTGGTTTGTAAATCTACATGCCATATCTGAACACCTTCAACAGTTGTTATTCCTAATTAAATATCTGCTAAGAACTCAAAGGATCCTGTGGCTCAGTGCCACCATAGGATCAACAATATCTGGGAACCTGTAAAAAACCCCTGGATCTACTGAATGAGCAAAGATACAACAGTTTACAGTTCAAACCCTCTCACTGATTCTGATGACTATTAAGTGACTATTAAGTCCACCAAGAGGACTACCAAGTGGACCACTAGGCAGCAAAGCCTCCCAGTCAGAAGCTGAAATTAATCATCATCACCTTATCCCTTTCCCTTTTTTCTAAAGTAGAATATCTACCCCCAACTACACTCTAATGCATCTATCTTCTCACAGAACAGCCAAGTCAAGACTGAGACATTTTTACGTAACCCAAACCACAGCATAAAAAGAGATACAACTGAAGGCTGGGTAAGGCAGTGTGTACCTTTAATCCCAACAATCCAGAGGCAAAAGCAAGTGGATCTTTTTGAGTTCGAGAGATGAGGGAGAGGAGAGAGGGGAGGAGAGGGGACAAGAGGGGGGGAAGGGAGGAAAGGGGAGGAGAGAGGAGAGGGGAGAGACAGGAGGAGAGAAGAGAGGGGAGAGGGGAAGAGAGGGGAGAGGGGAAGAGAGGGGAGAGGGGAGGAGAGATTGCTGGCCACAAACACAACTGCTATATTCACGTTTATGCTTCAGTTCATTATACAAGTAAACATTTTAACTGAATTTTTCCTAATGTGAAACATAACCTAGTTTATCTTTTAGTAAGTGTGACATTAATTGAACAAATACTGTTACCTTTCCAAAGTCAGCAAAGGTTCAGCAGCTCTGGCATGATCTATGGGATATCGTTCACGAACAGCAAACTTAACATCATCTGTTTCATCAGTTCTAAACCTCAGGATATTTAAAATTAGGTATTCATAATCTGTAAGAACAATGTTCCCCTGCAATAGAGTAAATAATTTAATTTATTAATCCTTTTAAAATCAGTCTTGAAACATCTTAAAAACTGAAAAAGATTTCTCATAAGACCTACTTATAGTTACAAATGAATTACAAAACAAATAGCACCAGTCACATCTAAATAAGGGTCTCTGGCCCAATCCAATTAATTAAATTCTGAGGACTCCAAGTTGGAAGCAGTCAAAGAAACTAGAAAACTTTACATTCTTTGTCCAGTTATTGCACAAATTACCTGTAGTACTTCACTATGAAAACCTAACAGTATGGGTACCTTTAATAAGTCTGCCAAAGCCAAGCATTAGCACATGCATATAATCCCAGCACTAGAAGGTAGAGGTAGTAGGAGATTCAGGAGTTCAAGTTAATTGTTGGCTACATAGCAAGTTTGAAGCCAGCCTCAAGTACATGAGTCTCTGTCTCATAAACCAACAACGAAAGTTCAAAGTTTCAAAACATTCAGGTCAAGAGAACATGAAACACAAACACAAGGAATTATAAAATAGCATAATATGTCTATAAAAGGACAGAAGTGAGATGTGGCCACATGTGATGGTACATAACTATAATCCCAACATTTAGGGGCTAAAGCAGGAAGATTCTAAATTCCAGGCCAGCCAAAAGTACACAGGGAACCCTGATTAGAGAAACTCGGGGAAATGGCTCAGTGATTAAGAGCACAAGAACACACATAGTTATTGCACAGGACCTGAGTTCAGTTCCCCACACCCATGGAAGGCAACTCACAACTGCCTCTTACACCAGTTGCAGGGAAATCTGAGGACATTTTGGCCTCTGTGAGCATTTGTGCACATACACATAGTTAAAAAATACTTTTTACACATAGTTAAAAAATACTTTTTTTTTAAAAGATACATTTAAAAAAAAATTAGGACGATGAGAGATAGCTCAGCAGTTTAGAGTACTTGTTACTACTCTTCTGGGTCACCAAGTCCAACATGGTGGCTTATTTGTAACTCCAAAGAATTCAACATCTTCTGACCTCTGCAGCAACCAGGTACACATGTGGTGTATATTCATACAACCAGATAAAATAAAATGAAAATGTTTAAAAGAAAAATTTAAAGCACTACTGTTATTTACTTTTATTTAATATTAATTAAATTAATTTTTAAATAAATCAATAATCCCTCCTCTGCTAGGCTACTTTCTGATCTCAGGTTACTTTTCACAGAGCTGTTCCTATCTATTATAACATGTCCTATGTACGTAACTTTAAAAGTTTTATTTGTGTGTATGGGTTATATGCTGTGTGTGGTGGTGGAGGTGGCACATGAATGTGTCAAAGTGTGTGTCTGAGGACAAGTTTATGGGGTTGGTTCTCTTTCCACTTTTACATGGATTACAGAGCATGAACTCAGGTCTTCAGGCTTGTGTGGCAGCCACATTTAGCTGCTGAGCCATCTCAGCAGGCCAAATTTATTATAAACTTATAAACTCAGTTTCTTAAGATGTTTTTGAGCTGCAGTAAGCCTCTTTGTACAAAGCCTAATAAATCCTAGATTCACCATTCCTCAAAATTCCAGACATGAAAGTTAAAAGGTCAAACTCTGGTATACAGAATGAAAAGAGCAAACTTTAAAATATGTTCTTTTTTTTTTTTTTTTTTGGTTTTTTCGAGACAGGGTTTCTCTGTGTAGCCCTGGCTGTCCTGGAACTCACTCTGTAGACCAGGCTAGCCTCGAACTCTTGAACTCAGAAATCCGCTGCCTCTGCCTCCCAAGTGCTGGGATTAAAGGCGTGAGCCACCACTGCCCGGCTAAAATATGTTCTTAAGCATCAACAACTATCTCTCAGACAACACAATGACTAAACAAAATTCCAAGTGTACACTCTCAAACATAAATCCTTAGTATTCACTCCAAATCCATCACTAATTGGACTTCTAGAACCTAGACAGTACGCATGGCTGCTTGCTCAGATCCTTCAAATGGAAACTACCTAAAGTCAATGGGATAAACTGTAACATAAAAGCCATGAATGAAGACTGTTTGTTTTAATAAACATTATGTAAGATCACATTAGTAAAAACTAAGTTAGTGTACAGTACACAAGAACTTTCCATTATCTCCAACTTTTGGAGCTGAGTTACAGGTGGTCTTCACTCATTTATCTTGGTACTGGGGACTGAACTTAGGTCTTTTGCAAAGGAAGCAAACACTCCCAACCACTGACCATCTCTCCAGCTCAGAGTCTAAATTAACTTCTAAACAAAAATGGTTACTTTATAAAAGACAAAAAAGAATTTGGAAAAAAAATGATTATTTACATTTTTAAAAAATTATGAATATTCCAGAAATCTATACTGTGCATAAAAATTTTTTACACATGACTGGATTTTTTTAAAAGAGCAAAGTCTTGCTTTATAGCTCCAGCTGGCCTTGAACTAAAGAAGCCCAACTGCCTCTGCCTCCCAAGGTGTGAACCACCATGGCCAGCTGATCAGCATTTCATGAGGGTCATGTAAAAGGCATTTTCTAATCACCCTTTAACACAGCACTAGGTAGGCAGAGGCAAGCAGATCTCTGTGAGTTCAAGGCCAGCCTGGTCTACAGAGTGAGTTCCAAGACAGCAAGGAATACACAGAGAAACTGTCTCAAAAAAAAAAAAGTTATGGAAAAAAAAGTAAATTTTTCTAAAAATAAAAAGGCTTTTAAAAAACTTTATTAAAAAACAAAACAAAACAAGAGGAGTTGTGGATAAATTAAGAGAGAAAACGCAGGTCGATGGTAGCAATGCTTTTGATCCCAGCACTAGGGAGGCGGAGGCAGAGGCAGAGGTAGGTAATCTCTGAGTTTGAGGCCAGCCAGGTCTAGAGTGAGTTCCAGTACAGCTAGGGCTACAGAAACAAACAAACAACAACAAAGAGATAGACAAGGATTAGCAAAGATGCATGATTATAAGAACTTCTAACAACATCAATTAAAATACCATGTTACAGAACATAATGAACTAAACATAACACTGAATGAAAAGAGTAAAAAACAAATAGGGCATACAATTCCATTCCTCTGTATCTCTCAATTTAACTTACCCTATCGTAGAGCTCAATGATTAAGTGGTAAGCAGCTTCATCACTTCCAAACTGGAAATCCACAATTCTATCCATACCAAGCTGTTTTGCACTGACTAATCTCCGACTCTTCAAATGTTTTCGACACTAGCAAGAAACAAAAAAGGCGCTTGTACAATAAAAGTAAATTCCTAAGCACTTGGTATTAATTTATGAAATTATCTTTACGCCATCAAGAATGGTAAATAAAGCAATACGGTCACAGAACAAAAGCTTATGATAGCCAGAGGAAACTTTCTAAAACTTGTCCACATTTTGCTTATTTAGTGTGTGTGTGGTGATATATGCATGCCATAGTATGCATGTAAAAGTCAGTAAATAGTTTCACGAATAGGTTCTCTCCATTCACCACGTGAACTCCAGGGATCAAACTCAGGTAACTTTTGTCCACTGAGTCAGCCTGCCAGTTCCCAGTGAGCGGGAAAATCCTTAAGCCTTTATTTACTTATTTACTTAAGCTTTTAGTAACTTCTAGCTGAAATAGTTATTTTTGTATTCTATTTTTTAGATAATAGCAAATATGAGAACTAGAGCATCTGTTGATTTATCATACTGCAAATAAAAAACCTTACCATTTAAGTAGACAAATACACTTAACTCAAAAGAGTGCCAAGAATTTGCTGTTATTGTTTACTATTTTTTAAGGCAAAATGTCACTCAGTAGCCCAGGCTAACCTTCCTACCTCAGTCCCCTGAATGTTGGTGTTACACGTGTGAACTACCAATCCCAGCTCAACATTATTTGAGAAGAGTGACAGACACAAAGTCCTACAATCCTAGCACGAGAACAAGGTCATCCTAAATGTGAGGCCAGTCTGCTCTGTATCAAGTTCCAAGCCACACTCCTTTAGTTCTAGAACTTGGGAGGCAGAGGTAGGCCCATCTCTGAGTTTGAGGCCAACATGGTCTACAGAGGGAGTTCTGGTTCAGACAAGGCTACACAGGCAAACTCTGCTTCAAACAACAACAAAAGAACAAGTTCCAGGCCAGCAGACTAAGGCACATGGATGGAGTCTGAGGCTACAAGTTGGATCTTACCCCTGACCCCTCATCTCACAGAACTGACTCCTCACAGGTTGTCTTCTGGCATTCACTTGAGAGCCCCAAGTTGTGCCTGTCTGTTGTTTCCACCTACATACACATACATATACACACACGCGCACACACACACAAAATAAATAGATAAATAGAGTTTTAAAAATTAGCTCCAAACTTAATATTTACCTTCATGGCAAAACTAGATGGCATCATGTTCTTAGGCCACTCAAATTCTGTTGTGTGAATACGTATACCAGATTCAAGTAACAGTGTAGCTTTAAAATCAGGTCTGTTCAAGAGAAAGCCAAATATTTCTTTAGGGAAATTTGCCAAAACTTATTCTTCGAATTTAAAAAACAAAACTTAAAATGCAGGTTATAAAAAAAAACCAAGAATGTCATATTTATTTACCAAAAGTAATCCTATAAAACATTCTTACTTTTGAAGCCGAATAAGGTATGTCTTGTTATCCACATCATAAATGTTGTTTACTCTCATTCCTAGCAAGCTGAAAAAAAGAAACATGTAACAAATCATTCTCTTGGTTGAAACAAAACTTTTCCGTCATTTATTGGGGTTTCAGAAGAGAAACCCTTCTTCAACTAGGATACCACTATCGCCTGTAAAGGTTATCCTCAAATTAACTGTAGACTTCTAAGCACAAACGTGGTCTGTTGGGTCTCAGGAACACCAGACAACTGCCTTCATCTTACACGGCCCAGTGCTTTGGGAATAAAACGAGTAAAATTTAATATGATTTACTAGGAGTGGTGGGAGTAGCCGAGTCCCCGAAAATGCGACAAAGCTCACACAGCTGAATAGGAGACAAGTCCAGAACACAGGTCCAAATCTGCCCATTTCAGCTGAAAGGCCCTGCTACCTCTGTTTGGGAAGAAGGATGGGAATTTTGAAGAAACCAGGCCGCCAGTCCAGAGCAATGACAATCACTCCCGTTCTACCAAGCGTTAGCTGCGGGACTCAGACCACCCCGGCACGATCTCTCCGGACCAGCGCACGGGAGAGGCAGCCTGTGGGCACGATCCCCGGGGGTCTCCCGAGGGCACCGGCCCCGACCTCGGCCCCCCCAGGCCTAGCGAATCCCCGAGGTACTGGGACGACCGTGAGGCTCTCCATCTCGCGACCACCCGGTGCACAGCCTCCACTCCCTCTGCTCCTAGCACGAGCCTGTTCACTCCCACTACCTTACCTCGCATTCAGTTCCGCGAGCACCGCGCGGAGGTCAACCGTGCTGAAGCGGCTCTTCATGGCTAGGGCGCGCGTCGCTACCGCAGTCCTCTCGGTGGCTGACCCGACACGGCACCGCTACGCTTCTGCGCACGCGCGCTTGGCTTGTATCTACGGCAGCCCAGATGAGCCAATATTTCTTAAAGCGAAAGTTGTCAAATCATAATCAATTTTTTCACTGTTTTAAAACAACTTGACGTAGGACTAGCTACCTTCTTCAAACTGAGTTCTTTCCTTGAACACTGACCGGGCTAATCCCGTCCCCTTGTCCCCTTGTGTTTGGGGAGTAAAGCCAGTCTCCACAGCCGCTCTGCAGGTTATTAACCATTTTAAAGCGAGTAGAAGGCGCATTTCCCCAAGAGGGGATGGGAGAGCAAGAGTGCTTTCTAAACGCAAATTTGAGACCAGACAAAAACTCAACGGTTGGATTTTCCTGACTGACAAACCGTAGTTATAGGTTCCTAATTTGATGGGCACTGCTCTCCGAAGTCCAATTCTGCAGCATACTGTAGAACTCTCATTCAAGTTGAATGTGGTGGGTGCTATAAAAGCCCGAGTTTCATAAATTCTTGGCACTTCAAATATTCAAGAATTTCGCTAAGTAAAGATGTCAGATAAAAATAAAGTGAGGGTTTCTATGGAAGAAGGAGAAAAATTACTCCTCCCACACATCCCAGCATTCTCTGAACCTCTTCTAGTTCTGCATGCTACCGATTCATAAATTATTCAGGGTTCAAATATATGCTAATTAATTCGTCTAAATTTTTCTTTTTAAAAGTTCTAGTATTATTAATAAACCATTTTAAAACTAAGAACAAAAAATCTATTAGTTTTGGACAGTGGAGGGGAGTGTGTGTGTGTGTGTGTGTTTGTGCTTGTAATGGTCATTTTTGAGTCAGGGTCTTGCTATGTAGCCCAGGATGCCTTAGAATTCTGAATTCTCTTGCCTCTACCTTTTCTAGTGCTAAAATTACCAACACACTTAGCACCTTGAGTAATTCTTAAATCAGTGAAACATGTATTTAAAAGTTTACTAGGCATTCACTATAAGTTCTTAGAATGGGTGACCAAGAAAGCAAAAGCAAGCAAGAAAAGTGTCAAATTAGTATATCTAAATACATAAGGATTTTTATAATTTTTATTCTGGGGTTTTTTGAGACAGGGCATGCTATATAGTCAAGGCTAGTCTAAACTCATCCTATAACCCAGGCTGTGCTCAGACTCCCTCTGAGCCCAGCCTCATTGGTATTGGAATTATAGGTACATACTATCATGCCCAGATCATAGACCTTTAACCCTGGCAAATGTCTTAATCTAGTTCCTATTGTTGTAACAAAATAGGAAAGGTTAAACAATGTACAAAGTTCACAGTTTTAGGAGCTGGCACTCTGAAATTGAGTAGCCACATCTGTTTCAATCTAACAAGGGCCACTGCTCTGGCTACATTCCAGCATCATGATGGAAGCACATGGGAAAGGGAGGGGACAGTTGCAAGGTGAGACGGAAGCAGCAGGGATACACATACCAGGCTTCTTCTTCTAATAGTTTCTTCATAAGTGAAACTGGTTTCTCCCAAGAACAATATCATTTCTGATTTTTAAAGGCCCTCACTACTACACCGAGCACCAAGCATCCAGCACTTAGAAGGAATCTAAATCACAGCATTTTGCAGTAAGCAGCAGTTTTTAGTCTATCCTAAATACAAGTAAAAGGCTAAATGTACAACCAAAACATATACAGAGACATGGACATGGGGGAACTGATAGAAAATTGTGACCACCATGGTATATTTAAAATCAAAGTACAACCATGTTACAGAAGAGAACAACAGACGTGAATCTTTTCAGCTCTTATCACTCTTCCTCTGAGTTAAACGTGGAGCTCTGGTGCCTGTGCACCTTTAATCCTTCTGTAAACGGCTTCTGTTACTGTTATACCAGCCATAAGTGTAAAGATGTAAACAATACAACACAATGTCTGTGCACAGCATCCAGGGATGGACCTGACTAGGGCAGTAAGAGCATGAAGAAAAAGACAGACATACAGATATAAAGCTGGGATCAGATGGTCTGAGCCAGTGGTTCTCAGCCTTCCTAATGCTGCAACTATTTAATATAGTTCCTCATGTTGTGGTGACCCCCAGCTATAAAGTTTCTTTTGTTGCTACTTTATAACTATAATTTTGCTACTCTTATGAATTATAAATATCTGTGTTTTCTGATGGTCTTAAGTGACTCCTGTGAAAGAGTAGTTTCAACCCTCAAAGAGGTCATGACCCACTAGTCTGGGCTCTCCACTGTAGAAACTACAGCCTCTAGCCCAAACTCAGCATATTTACTAGAGTTCAACAGAAAGGTGGAGTTACTGCATATAGTTGAACAAGCAGGTAGGTTTATGGCATACAGTTGGATAAGGAGACAGGTTTATGGTATACAGGTAGATAAGGAGACAGGTTTATGGTATACAGCTGGATATGGAGACAGGTTTAGGTCGTTTCAGTAGAAGCGGTCTCTGTAGGAGAGCAGTCTTCAGGTTGCCAACATCCAGAGGGAGAAAGACACAGTGGACATTTTCTGTCACAATGTCTACATCCACGCTTGAATTATAGTAAGATTTTGCCATGCCTCAGAACCTCGCCCTAGGTGGAAGGTTTTTACCATCTTAATGGGGATCTTAATGGGGTCCGAGTCCTTGCCATGGCTTTGCCGATGTCAACAATATTCACTCAGGGCTTTCTCCACTCCCTATAATACAAATCTATTTTCTAAGTGTTCTGAAGGTCAGAAGTCCCAAAGGGGTCTGAAGAGCTCCATCTATGTAGGGGCATGGGTGGGAGCGGGCCGAGGGCGGGGTGGGGGCGGGACAGTTTTTTTTTTTTTTTTCAGGAAAATCCCTCGAATTGTCTGTCTCTCATAGCCTCCAAAGTTGCCATATTCTTTGACTGGTAATCCCAAACGGCTTCAATATGTGATTTCACGACATATCTCTTTCCATAACCCTAACTCTTGTCTTTTTATAAGGACCCTTAGATTATATTTGACCTATTGGAATAACCTCTCTACCTCACAACCCCAAAGCTAGTGGAATCTGTGAAGTTCTTTTATTCCCCACGATCTCCGTTTGGCTGTTTCCATATGTTAGAATACAGACTTTTTTTTCTTCTTTTCTTTTTCTTTCTTTTTTTTTTCTTTAGGAGGCAAAAAATATGCCACTATTCATGCTTAGGTTCTACAATCTGAGAATTTCTTCTAGAGGTCTTAAAAAAACTAAGAGGGTAGGAACACCAAGGCTAAGAAGCAAGCTAGATACTCTGATGTAGTGATTACAAGTATAGCTAAGCTATTGTGAACCAAATTCAGCGATCTGTTTAGAAGAGGGGAAAACAAAACAAAACAATAAAATGAGATATATCAAAAATTGTTTTGTCTCTATTTTTTTTTAAGTTGGGAGAGAGTAGACTTGTTATTATTGTTCTGTTTTTAAAATACTCAGCATGTCTGTTGTGCCCACCTGATAAATATGTATGACTTTTAAAGTCCTTCTGTTGTTTTACAATCATAAGGACAGAGTCCAGACCTTATAAATTCTAAGTTAGGACTAGTACGGTTTCCTCAGGTTTTCAAGGTTTTAAAGGTTGTTTTGTATTCGTTTCAATAAGACTTAACATAAATGGATACAAAAGAAAAAGACATTACAGAAAACTCTCCATAATTCTGGAACATAGACATAGCTAAATTTATAATTCGTCACTAAACTTCCTTCACATTGAGTTCTGTAAGTTGTTAGAGAAAGCGCTTTTTGTCGGGCAGCTGTTTTTCACCTACTACTTTTAAACGAAATAGCAGTCCCTGCTGGTTACTTGGGCAATAACATATTTTTGAAAATAAGTTCTGACTATACTACGGTAGGAGTCAGTAGTGAGGCGGCCACAAGTCCTTAAATATCTTGAGCAAAGCTGTTGTTTTAACCTCGCAGGAAAGAGAAAATCGAAGATTAGAGTGGGAAGGGGGTGGGAGAAAGTGGGAATGAGAAAGACTTAAATAAAATTAAAGAGATTTAAATAAAAATACGTGTTGTATTTAAATAAAAAATATGTGTTGACTAATTCCTTTAAACCCTAAAAACATACTTTATCCTTTGTTAATGTTTAAAAACGAAACGAACTAGTAATAATAATAATTTTTAAAGGAGGGTAGAGAGAGTCAAACAAAAGAGACGGGGTCTCGCTATGTTGCCCAGGCTGGAGTGCAGTGGCTATTCACAGGCGCGATCCCACTACTGATCAGCACGGGAGTTTTGACCTGCTCCGTTTCCGACCTGGGCCGGTTCACCCCTCCTTAGGCAACCTGGTGGTCCCCCGCTCCCGGGAGGTCACCATATTGATGCCGAACTTAGTGCGGACACCCGATCGGCATAGCGCACTACAGCCCAGAACTCCTGGACTCAAGCGATCCTCCTGTCTCAGCCTCCCGAGTAGCTGGGACTACAGGCGTGCGCCACCGCGCCCGGCGATCGGCGAGGGCGGCGGAGAGATACTAGAGCTTCGCCGGGACGTGACGTCACCGGAGGCAGGGCAAAGTCTTTGCTTACACGCCCAGACCCGCCCAGCGCGGGCGGTCTAGAGGCTGAGGCCGCGTGATGTCACCTGGGCACGCCTTCTTTCGCTGGAGCCAGGAGTCTTGTGTTTTATTCCAAATCGTGTGCATTCTTTCAAAAAACTGTCCTGTGCTTCCTCCCTCTGAGGTGTATGCGCCGCGAGAGGGGAAGGGAGAGCCCCAAATGGTTGCTCTAAATCGCTTTGCTTTCCAGGCCTGCAGTCTCTGCTACATCTCTGAATTGGTAAATGCTGGTTACGAGCGAACCATCTGTTCTAAATACTGTATACCATACAGTGTATAGCATGATCCCTCGTGGCAGAGATTAGGGGTCCGAAAAGATGTTGAGAGTAGCTGGAAGGAACGAAACCTAGAATATCTGTCTGCCCTCACCTATTCCTGGTGTTGCTCCCCCACCCCCCCTATTGTTGAGGAAAACTTGTCCGTGGGTAGAGAGGAGTGAACGTGGATTCCTTACAGTTGTGTTTTCTGC